TTAGCCCTAAGGAAGACGCAGTGGCAAACCACTTTGAAGAAAATTGCAGGGACTTGTCCAGTCAGTTGCAAGAAGTCAACTCCGACTAAAAGGGTCCAGATTATACATAAATTTGCAGAAGCAACAAGTGACTGAAGTTTATTGGTGGGCAAAAAAAAGAGCAAAAATCCTCTTCGTTTTTGTTCTTGTGTAGGACATTTTTCAATTAAAATAAAACCACTGATCTAAGGAATGTTCATTTCCAAGCCTGTAAAAAATAAGGAACTTAAGTTTGGGGTTATATATTATCCAAAACAAACATTGGGTACAAAGTATAGTCAAGATGTTGTACTCAGGGTTTTATCAATATGCTATTCCTTTAAACGACTTAATAGGTTAAACAAGCAAGATTATTGACTAGATTTATAAATCACTAAAGAAGGCTTGTTTTAGGGATAACTAAAGCTGGGATGTAAAAAGTCTAAATGACCGTGAGATAACATGAAAGAGATAGAAAATTTTAATGCTTTGCTGCCCTCTAGAAATCCTTTATTTGTTGACAATCCATATCCAATAGCCTTAGTTTATATAATAAACTATCCTTGGCTGAATTTGTCCAATATGCCATGTAATAAATCATGATTTACAAATAGTGGTTGGAATTATACAACATGCTAAATTTTAAAAGCAGCAAATCACATTATGCAATATATACAAACCTATTATCTTTCAGTTTACAATAATTTTTTTAGTTTGTTCCTGGAGATAATTCATATTTACTACATACTGTTCAAAAAGGTATATTAATAACCACCTATGGTACAGTGGTGGGATTCAAATATTTTTGCCACCGGTTTGGTGGGCTTGGCTTGGTGGGTGCCCTTGGCATGTGTGCACATACTTTATGTACACGCGTACGCTAAACGCACACTTTGTGCAGGCACAGAGGCGTTTGCACAGATGCACAGGCATTCTAACTCGCCCCCTGCAAACCTGCATGATCCCAGTTGCTTCAGCAGCTGCCGCACAGCACTCTTCTGTGCTACGCAAAGCAGCTGCGCTTCAAATTCAGAGGATAAAGGTGAGTATGGGAACCCGGGTGGGCCCAACACCAGAGTGGGAGAGAGAACTGTTCAGTGTCACTGTTCATCGCTGCTACCGGCTTGCCAGAACCGGGCCGAACTGGTAGAATAACAGCACTGCTATGATATCAAAGCTGGAAGTGTAACCGCATGCTTGCAGTCCATACAAGAAAGGCTACCTGAAAAAAAAGACCAACTCCCTGTTGTTTTCCCCCACAGCTATAACCAGCAATCACCATTTCATCAAATGGTTCATCAGCAGCTGAGAGAGAGATAGGTCTAGTCCATTACTTTTGACAGATTTCTTCTTTTCTTAAATTATAAGTAGCTGGCTATTACTTAAGAATCAAGGTTTACTTAAGAGGTGGTGCTTTTTCTTTTTCATCTTTCACTCCCATTCTCTCTCTCTCTCTCTCTCTCTCTTTTTAAATACTACCTCATTTGGAATGTTCAACCAGTGTTAAATCATTGTTTGCTTAATTCTAGTTTACTCAGTAAAATGCAGTTGGTTCAGTTCATACAACATATGTCCACTGAAATCTGCTGCGAAGGCCTTTCTAGCCCAAGGGGAGGTAAAAACTATTGGTAGCAAATGCCAACCATTTTCCAAATTGTTTCAGATTCTTCTGATAAGGAACATGGAGAAGTAATCTCAATTAATAGAGAAATAGTAATGCAGTAATATATTATGAATGCAACAATGAAGTGCATTAGTTGCCCTCAGAGCACTGGTGGGTAACATGGGATCCTCAAATGCAGTCAAACCAAAGTTCCCAACAGTACCTCTCAAGATGGCTGATGGGAAGTGATATTGTGATCTGTAGTTCTCCAGGTGTTTTAGAAAAGAAGTTGACTTTGCAAGCCAGTAGCCTAATTTGGACTTTTAAATAAATAATGTAATCACTCTCTAGCTTAGGAAAATATTCCAGAGACCCAGAATTGAACAGTATGCTGACAAGTTACGGCAAACATTCATTCTTCATGCTGCCAGAGATAGTCTTGCAATACCATTACATCCAAAGGGCAACAGGTTGAAGAAGATTAAGTTAAAGCAGCATCATTTCCAGTTTCCCAAGATATAATTCTTCTTGCATGTTTCTTGCCAGGTGAAACTGCTTTTCTGTCTTCCTTCCTTCCTTCCTGCAGATGGCTGGGGCTCAAAAGCCATTTTAGTGCAGTTTGAGACAAAGGACTCTTTGTGAAATTGCCAACTAAGGTGTTTAGACTTAAATGGCACAGAGAGGCTTATCATGTCAAAGTAGACAGGAATAATAGTTGGGGGCTTTGCACATTCTTATTTGCTTGGTTGTGTAGACCAGTGTTTTTCAACCTGGTAATTTTAAGATGTGTGGACTTCAACTCCCAGAATTCCCCAGCCAGTTGATGTCCACACATCTTAACCATGGCCAAGGCTACACTAGCATAGCTGATTTAAAACAATGGAAGGAAAAATAAGATCCTTATTTCTAACGTTTTTTCTTTGAGGTAATTTTTGCATGTTTGCCAATAATAATTACTGTGATTAAGACTGTCCAGCATAAAGAGATAATTGCAGGGAACAAGTTCTTGCTTGCCCTATAGCTCACTCCATTGTGGATAGATGCTGTCCCCTCATAAGAGTTCACTCTTCTTATCCAGGGTTTTCATAGAAGGACTCATAAACGGATTTGAGAAACATGCATTTAATTTTCTTTCTTTCTTTTTTTCTATCTATCTATCTATCTATCTATCTATCTATCTATCTATCTATCTATCTATCTATCTATCTATCATCTATGCCTATATTTTAGAAATATAACCAGTATGTTTTAGTAATGTCATTTAGGAGTGCCTAGCATTCTGACAGACCACAGTTTGATTTTCACTTAAGACAGACTGCTGGTCCCAGTTTAGCCACAGAAGTCTCTGCGAGCTCTTATAAGATGTCACTAGAAACTAATGTATAATGTAAATAACATTTGTTTTTTAATCAAAGGAAGCTGGCTGCTCATCCTCTTCTCCATCTCCCCTACCCCAGCCCATCTTTCGTCTTTGGACACTTTAAAAAATGACTCTTAAACATGCAAATACAACCATTGGATCAGTAAACACAGCCCTTAGCTATGCTTGCGAAAATAAGTTTGGTGGACCTTATAGAAGGCAATGTTAGCACTGGATGGTCTGAACTGTGTGCTCTGCTGTGGGGAAGAGGGACTCTTTTTGAGACATTTGAAATGAGAGAGAGAGAGTTGGAGATCTTGCCTTTTTGGGTTAGAGAGAACAAACCACTTGGCTATAGGTTGGGAAGATGCCTATCCAGGATGAAAAAATATTGACACTTGAGCGCTCTCTGCTGACTGCATTGTGAATATATGAGATGGCAGGGACTGATTTTTCTTAAGCTTCTGTTGCAAGGAATGGGAAACAAGTAAAAGTTATACACATTTAATGTGAGCTCACAATGCACCTGGCATTATATAACCACTGACAGAATGCTCTTCGCATAAAGCAAAATTAAAGCAAGCAATTAAAATGAATGCAAGTGGCTGTTTTTAATTTATTCTTAATGTATATTAGTGCTTGGTCCAATGCTCTAAGGTAAAATACTTAGAAGAATACAAGTGAAGAATGCTCGTCTGTTTTTCATTCTTGTTCCTACTTGTTCCAGAGAATAGAGTAACTTCAGGGAAAATGAGTAGTGTGGCAGAATGTCCAAAGAATCAGATAATATTCTAGATGGATAAATTTAATAATATTATTTCCAATCTCCAAGAATGGTTGTCAGAAATATGTGATTTACCTGTTTGGGGAAAGGCAATATTTTCTTCTAATCAAAGCAATATTGGTACTGTGGCACAATTCTGCCCCATTTATCAACCCATCCACCCACACACCAACTAATCTATTCTCATTTATAAAATCTCATTAATTTTTCCTAATTTGAATGCTTTCCTTCCCATTTATTTACTGAAAATTAGTGACAATGGAATAGAAAGCATAGAAGGAATCATCCAGGTTTATTAAGATCTACAAATCTATGTGTGGACATTCAAAAATAAGCTATGGTATGTTATAGCATTATGGAATTGTTTGAGTTACTGCCTTAAAATACAAACCTAATATGCATTAGACATCATTCTTTTCATTTGTAAAGAATTAAATTACCAAAAATTAAAACTATATTAAAAAGCAATAGTTTTAACAGCTTTCTATATGGCATAATATGTATCAATATATCTTACATACATAAGGCATCATTTTTTAAAAAAAATCAGCTGCTGACTGAGAAAAACAGCAAAATAAAAACAGGAAAACATAGTTGCTATTTGGGAATGTCGTATCAGCTGGTTGTTTTTTAAATAGTAGTCCACAAATAAGGCTGATAGTGGTACAACTTTGAAATACATTGTATTTTACAGTACTCAAAAGCTGAAATTGCCAAGAGGCATGTATTAAAATTACATAGAGGAAAAAAAACCCAAATTGCATTAAGACAGGTGTGTGAAATGTGACACATGTTTGACAAGTGAAATAGCCACACTGGTGTGATGGAATACCTACATATATCTGCCTCATTGTGTTTCACACTTGGCCCAAGGGTTCCTTTTGCAAATATTTATTAGTGTATACTCTGTAGCTTGTGTTTCTTGTGAGTATTTCAGCCAAATTACTCTATTTATTCAGTTACAGGCACAATATTTTTCTCTCTGAATATACTGGGCACCTTGAGTTAAAAACCACATTAGTCATTACTACCCTACAATACTTTATTGTAGCACAAAGATTACAACATCTTTTTTCAAAACATGGATATTTAATTAAAATAAAGATATTTTTTCACATAGATGGCTTTTGTGTAAAAAAAAAACCTAAAAAGCATTTAAGCAATATATATTGAGGTTGTTCTCCCTTTTATAGTTTAAAACAAAAATGAAAACATTAGCTTTGTAAGTTTTTTTTCAAACACAAATAATATATTTAGCAGAAAACTTTACTTTGTATACCATTTAAACACTTGGCAAAACAATTCTTTAAAATAGTGCAATGTTTGTATGTCTCAGTTTTATGGATATCTCCCTCACTATGAAATGGATTTTATGGATACCTCCCACACTATGAAACAATAGCCAGATTTTTAACAGTTGTTCAGACAGACCCATCGGACTAATGAAACTGAAGTAGGCACAGTCCACCAAGAATGTATGTGCAATTTTTACTAAATTAAACAGAAGCACCATTAACATTAACAACATACTTTTGTTGCAGATCTTTTTCCATTTTGAGTGGGCATACCAATCTATATAGCAGAAAGCATCCCTATGGGTCAGTTCTATGTGCTGCTCTTAAACAGCAACCAATGGCATTAGAACACAACTAGGGGATTGTTGCTTGCTATGGAGGAAAGAGCTTAATAAAACCTCAGGTCATGTAAATCACCGGAAGCAGGAAGCCTCTGTGGATATGTGAGATTTTGAAACCTATTGTGAATAGGCTCAGTAAAGAAGATGCAAAGTAGACTTGACCATGTACAAACAGTCTCTTACAGATACTCATCTATCCAAGACTAAATGGTGATTGTGATCAGATAGTTTAGCACCTTAACTTAGCTATTTGTTTTTTTGCTTTTTGTTTTTTCTGGAAAGATGTACATATTTCCAGAGCACTGGGGCTAGCCACTCATCATCTCTAAGAATAGTCTCTGCAGCCACATGAGTCCAGAATTACTTCCCAAAATAAAGATAATGTTAGAGAACTCCAATATCTTATTCTCTATGTTTTAAAAAATAAATGTCAAATGGTATAGTAAGTTTAACAAATATAAGGGGAGAGATTGACAAGCACGTTGGTGGTATTGAATTACTATGCAGTCTACAAACAATGTGAAACATACCACTATGACCAGGAAAGGGCCTTAACTTGGGTAGAATGTATCCTTTTTGTGCAGAAATCCCAAAGTTAATTTTTAAAATGGAGACTCCTCTGCTGCAGATAGTTTCCTATTACAGACACAGGAGAACCAGCAAATATATTAAAACTGTGTCCACACATTTGTGCTAAATCATAACCTGGTTGATTTGACTTTGGACGAGTAATCATACCTCACAGTGTGATTCATGAACCATACTTTACCTCTTAAGACAGTATGTGAACCAGGCTGCTATGACTTATCATTAAAATAAGAAATGGGAAAATATGATTTATGTGATTCATATATAGTTATTAAAACTGCAAGTCCCTTGCAGGTCCGTTCCACCGATCATGAAGGTTCAGAATGCTGGAAACTATAATCCAAAAAATCTGGGAGACTGCAGGTGTACCATCTGTGCTTTGCATTTTTATTTGGAAGCAAATCTCATTGATAATTAAGAATAGATTTTGTAAGATTGTGCTGATACAATAACTACATAAAATTATTAATTAATATTTGCTTTAAGTAGGGATGTTTCTGTGCAATTCCAAAGAATATGAGACAGGAAACTAGTTTGAAAGAAAGTCAGCTAACATATAAGGATGATAAAATAAGGAAGTTTGGGCTAGATCAGCCACCCCTATAAATTGCTAGCTGGAATGATAAGTATTAGTGTCCATTACATCTGGAGGGCACCAGTTTGGCCTAAGATCTGAGAAGCTTTTGAACTGGGTATAATGATACTTCCCAGGAACATTTTATCCCAGCTTAGAAAGTGGTATTTGAGAAGCATTGTTGCCCACAGTCATTCAAATAAAGACTAATCATAAAATGAGAGAAAAAAGGCATCTATCAAGAAAAGGATTTCAAAACTATGAATGAAAAAAATGAAATTAATGTAAATAAAGTTCAAATATTTAATTTGTGCTAGATGCTAAATTACTACTGCAGAATAACTGTATGGTCCTGGGCACATGTCCTCAGGACTTTCTTATGACTTATACTAAAGATACTATAGAGATACTAGTTCTGACACTGCAACAATGACTGTATCACTGTGCAGTGAAAGAAGATGGAAGTAAATGTGTTATAGTGAGAAGGAATCCTTAAAAATACTAAGTAGTATAAGCTTGTGCAGAAGAAAAAGCAGATAGATAGATAGATAGATAGATAGATAGATAGATAGATAGATAGATAGATAGATGGATAGATGGTATCAGTTTTTCAACATTATGCAGGAAGTCAGGAAAGAAGTTTACTCATATCGCAGGTATTAGTAAGTAAAGTGAATTACAGTAGTGCAGCAGCTAACCTACCACCAAAAGATCTGCAACAGAAAGGCTATTTGGGGGTGGGGGGAAGGAATCTATTTTTCAAAGACAATAATGATTGAAGCATTTGCTGATAATTCCACTATAATGAATATACAATCCTAAAGAGTATCAAAGTTATTCCTAGAAATGACTTGATTGAAAACAAGAGTATTAGCAGAAAGCAAGGAATTGTTTCAACAACAGCTGATCTTTAAGGATTACTTCCAAGTGACTAGACTTTGTTTACCCAAAAGATGTATATTTCCTAACCTTCAAACAGTTGTTATATGAGTTACCTCCAGGGCAAAGTGCATATAACATGCTTTTTCTAGCTCAGTCAGAAGTTGGGGGAGTTCCTGAGGAGTAAAAATTAGTCAAGCCCCTCTGTTGCAATTTTTTGATTAGATAAAACTACCTAATCTTTATATTTTAACTAAGCTCTCTGAAATATATATGTTTGTTTCAATGAACGGAGGAGGAGAAACCCTGCAAAAACTGAGAATGCCAATCCTTAGGCATTTTCTTCCCCCCATGTTCCTCATGACTTTTGTTGGGTAATTTGTCAGTCCCAACAAAAATATAATTGTGGCTGGATTGGAAACTGGACCATTTTCTAAATATAGCACCCGGCCCACAGACATATGTGTAAAATCTGTAACTGTTAAAATAATCTGAGCTTTGCTGAATACTAGGTATAAAAATAGTGCATATATGAATGTTTTTCCCAGTTGTTCAGCCTAATGAGAAGGCATGGGGGAAGAGAACTAGAAAAGTTCGTTGGAACATTTAGAAATCAAATGGTCTTTTTTCCCCCTCTGTACTTAGCAGTCAAATCCTTGAAACTGCTCCCCAGTCACTACCCTCAAATTCAAGAAGAGGGAAACCATTATTCCAATTGTAATTCTGTATTTTAATGGAAGCATCCTCCACAATCTGTTGTGTTTGTGATTCATAGGAAAGAAGCATCTGACATGTCAAAAGCCAATAGCACTAAAATGCAAGAACTTGGAGGTAAGCAAGCATCATTGTAACAAGGTAAATTGAAAAAGCTGGAAGTGGATGGTTAGGCATTAAAAAAAGATTCCAGAGCACTTGGGCAGGGTTAGGCTGCATCGCATCGGAGGCTCAAAAAAAAAAAGCTCCCAGAGTGAATGCCTCTTTTATACAGAATGCTGCATATAGGCACGTACCCTGGAAGCGTAAGTCAAATGCAGAGTGTTTATCCTGGAAGTAGCAAAGAATAGAAATAAATCAGACATTAAATGACAAGGCTTTGAGTAAGGAATACTCTCCTCCATAGCTCAGTCCCTTCTTGTCCCAGATCCCAAAAGGCTTCTAGGCAAGAAGGGCAATGTGTTACAGTCTGGGAGGAAGAGGAAGAGAAGGATTCCCAGTATAAATGAAAGGATAGCTTGGCAGAAGGAGACGGTATGCAGAAGCGGAAAGCCTGAGGCAAGCTTCTCAAAAGAGCAGATGGAAAATCAAGCAGTATATTCTACCGCCTTCCCCACATGGGCAAGGGGGGAAAAGCAGCACCCACTGTCCCTCAGGTACTTTACCCTCTCAGCCAGAGGTCCCCCACAGGATGAGGAAACCCATTCTTACAGCAGCTACAAACTCCCTCAGGGAAGGGCTTTTAATATTTCACAGTTGCCTCATGGTCTCTCCAGGGAAGGGGCAGGATCAAGACTGATTATGGGAGATCCACTGGTTGTCAATGGGGCGCCTCAGCAATTCCTCCACATGTCGTGCCACATCCATTGAATCATCCAAGTCGAATTCTCCTTCTGGATCCAGAACTGAATCAGGACTGAGAAAGAGAGAAAGGAGCACCATGAAAAAAACTCTGAATTCTAAAAAAAGCTATTTCTGAAAACTTTCTTAAGAGGCTATTTGGAAGAGGCTCTAACAATCTGATTTTAGAAAAATATGCAGTCCTCTCCAATTCATTCATTTCCCCCTCCATTTTAGAGACGGGAGGGGGAATGACTTTTCCTAATTCCTAACATTTTTAAAATCTTCACGGATATGACTTTTTATATTTTCATCTTTGTTCTTACTAGAGAAAAACTGACAATTGACAAAAACTGACAAAAACTGACCCTATTCCATAGGTAAGATGAAATGTTGCCCATAAGAGTTAAGATAACAAACTAGTTATAGAAAAAGCAGATGGGAAAAGTCTGAACTGAACGAATTTACCATTTCTGACTGTGATAAGTGGGTATAAGATCACTTTTAAAAGATGATCTTTTACATTAAAAAGAAACACTGTGTAAATTTAAAAAAAATTTCAATAGGAAATGGAAAGTTATAGTGCAAGGTGCAGAACCTTTGTTGATTAAAGGAGTGCAAAATGATTTGTGTAGAATGTTTGGACACGCTTCCAAAGTATGCACGTTCCCAAAGACAGGAAACATGGAGGAGGCATTGCAAGAGTAAATGGGTGTCTTAAGAACCTGTAAAGCTTAAGGTTATTTTTATTTTATTTAGCCCTAAAAATCACTTTCTAAGTGGCAAAATATCCTCTCCATAGGACTCACATTTGAGTTCCATACATTCTGGGGAAACTCTGGAGATCATAAGTGAGATGTTGTATGCCACATTTTTTGTGCCTCTTCATTTTCTCCCTGTTCATTATGTTTCCTTTCTGTACAGGGACAGCATTCAAAAATAGAACATCCACTATAAGTCCATACAACCTCTGTCCATGAGTAGCAGTAACCAATTGGAGATTTGAGTTGGCAGAACTATCTTTCCAATGCTTGCCACTGTGATGTCTAGAGACATTTCCCATGCTATGTCCTTCTCACAAATCACAATGTTCTCCAAATAGCTGTTTAGTGGTAATTTAAATTAGGATATTTAGGGAAACTCTCACCAGTGGTATCCCCAAAGGGAACAAGGGACTTGTCAAAATGATGCAAGCAGCACTTCAATGCAGGTATTATCCCTTTTCTGAGTGCATCAAGAAAGCGGTGACACCCAGCACAATGCTCCGAGACTGCTTTCATTATTCTGATGAAAGCAGCAAGAACCTAAAGAGAGACTTTTGTCTCTTCTCAAATACCCCTCTTCTTATTAAGAACATTACTATTCTTTATATTCCTAATATTATTCTTAGTCAGGGGACTGAAGAACTCCTCAGTCTGTTCCAACCCCATAACTGGGCAATGATGTGATAGCAACCTCTGTCTTAAAAGAAGATTAGGAACATGCAAACAGAATATTTATGTTGCGAGATTAGTATGTTTTCAACTATAAAATGCAAGACCTCTACAATAGCAGAGAACTTTCAGTGGCAAGGGTCTTGCCTCGCTTACTTTTGTGTGTACATGTTGTAGTGAGGAGCAGGAGGGCAAACAGCCGGTGATGATGCTTGTTCCATGTAGGAAGCCCCTGCACTCATAGAATCTCCTGAAGAGGCAGCAAACCTACAACAGATGGAACCAGAAACAAATATTTTTGCCTGACACCAATGGATTCTTCAGTGGCAAGAAATACATGAACTATCTGAGGTTGTTTTTATGGAAAGTATGAATACACATTTCAGATTCCTTCCTTGATATAAATATCCACACTTGCCCTGTATAAAAAGAATCAGAAAGCAGAGACATAACTGCACAGAGAACCCAAACTTCTTTTTTTAGAAAGTGCAATCATCAAGCTACAACACCTTAACATTATCAACATTTTCTCATTCCTATCTTCGTACTGAAGCAAGCAAAATGGAAACCCAATTCATGTTGCTTGCTTGCTTCAAGTTTTTAAAATCATAAATCCTCCTTGGGAGGTGCAAGATCTAAAGCTGAAGATGAGGGTGCTAACACAATTATTGTACTTCTAGCTGAATAGTTAACTGAAAAGAGAGCTGGGGAGAAAAAAAGAATCCCAGTTGAAAATAAATAGCTACCACTTCTTCCTTATTTCTCTCTCCCTTTAAAAAAATAAAAATGCATTTTCGAAACCCACAGTACTTACTCTGGCACAACTTGTTTGATTTGTGGCTTTACATATCCATCTATAGCCTTTGCTGCAAAAACAAGGAGTTGGGGTATGTGAGAGAGAAGCATATAGTTACTAGATAAGACAAACTTTATGTAGGAATCCCTTTTGGGAATAGTAGCCATCTGATATTTTTTTTATTTTAATTACATGCATGCTGAAACCCTTCCCCAAGGAGGAATGAATGAATTTGGCTTGTTTGTTTTGTTTGTACAATATTTTTTCCAAAAGCTACACCATTCCCTTTCCTTGTTGATCTGCAAATCTTTTACTGAGAAAAACCCATGCTGAAGATTTGCATATAACTATATTTCAAAACTACTCAAAATAAATAAGTAAATTGAAACAGACTTTATCCTTCTCAAGTATTCAATTGTAAAAACAGTCACTACCTGGTCATTAAAAAGAACTTTTCTTTCCTCACCAAAAAAAGAAAAGAAACAAAACTAGTCATGAAAAATATCTGTTTTGCTTCAATCTTTATCATTATCTCGTCTTTTAGATAAATATACAGTTCCAGTCTAGCTGTACCACTGCCTTCTCTCTTTGCATTAGCATTTACCTATCTTTTTAATAGTGCATTTTAGCAACATTTTCTGACAGTATCATGTAATACCAGTGATGTTTCTAAAATTATATATGTCATTGTAATACAATGTAAATGGCCAAAGGAAAAAGGATTTGAAATTGTTGGGGATGAAAGAATCATATGTATCCATTGAAAAGGACAATGATAATAATTAAGCACTTTCCTGAAATTACCTGAAGTGATTGGCATATAATATTTGGAGAAAACATCTTCCTTGGGTCTGTCAGGATACACAAAAGTGAGATATGGAAGATCACCAAGGCGGTCTGCCAGGGAGCGGATGGAGAAGTCACGAGTGGTGAAGGGCATTAAGTTCCAGAACATTCTCTCAGCTGCAAAAACCCCAGATCATAATCAGATAAAAAAATATGTGCTCAATATGTAGAAATTATCCTGCAGACTTTCAAGATATTTCTATGAATTGCAAGAAATACAGAATATTCTTATAATAGATACAGCAGGAGAAACCTAGAATTCCAGCAACAACAGGTAACAACTGAATATTTTTTATGCCACATCTGTTTTGAAAAGTTCTGATCCAATGTTCTCATGGTGGTCAAAATAGGCATTAATGTTGTTGAAAACTTACCATTTTCAAACTTCCAGGCAACTGTGATCCCTCCAATTTCAGAGTCACTGAACCTCAAGAGGAAAGTTCCATCTGGTTTGCTGATTAGCAAATCATGTGCTTGTTGCTTGTTGATAAAACCTAGAATAGCCCTAGAGAAGTGGAAGTGATAGAGGCAAGTCAGCCAGCAAAGTATTTAGACAGGGAAAAATAAATTGAAGGGGAGTGGGGAATAGAATTCTTACCCATCATTCCAGTGAGGTTTCAGATGTTTCTTCAAGACTTCCATCACTCCATCAAACCATTGCCAGAATGTATAATTTCTCCCTGGAAGATTTTCCTGGTTAAATGAAAAGAAAGAAAATCATGGTTCTGGAATCTTTCTTTGGTTGTTAGAGGTCTTTATATTTTCTCTGATCCTACATTAGTATATTAGAGAAGGAATAGATTTATAGCAAAATACACAGGCATTCATATTCATCAGAAACTTAATACACATTCTTTTAAGTTTAGTAACTTCAAACTGATGGAACAAAAGTTGGAAAAACTTTGGAACCTCCCTGGATTTGAATGACTAATCATGGGAAATTTTATTTTATTTTTATTGTTTATCACTGCACTATTGAGTGACTCAATTTTTAAAAGAAATTCAGTTAGTTGCCTGTAATGTTGATTAAGTTATACAAAATGCATGCATGTAGTAAACTACATGTTTTACATACAGTACCCAAATATATTTCTGCTCATGCAAGAAGGCAGTCCATATGGTGATATTACTAGACAGTATTTAAACTATTTCAAGAAGGATTTTGATGTATCTCTAATGAATCAATAAATTGAAGTTGTTCTGTAAGGAGGAATGTGCTAAACTTCCTACAAGCTTATGTGCAGGATTGATCAACAATTATCAGAAACATTTAGTCATAGCTATTTCGGTCCAAAGAGGTACATCAGTTATTGAAAGCAAAAGTTCACATACTTTTGCCCTACACAAATATATAGCTTTAGATCATTTTTCTCAATAAATAAATGAACAAGTATAATGTTTTGATCATTTATTTAACTGGATTTTCATTATCTAGTTTTAAGACTTGTGTGGAGAATAGATTATGTTTTAGGCCACATTTATGCAGAAATATTGAAAATTCAAAAGGTTTCACAAACTTTTAAGCCTCACTTTTTATTTTTATTTTCACCTGATTGTGGGCATCTTTTATTTTGTTATTTTTGTATCATCTGTACATCCTAATCTGTTCCTCCCTCAAAATCACTTATACATTTAATTGATTAATTCATAGTCTATCTTGAAAACAAGAAATCTCCAAGTTTAATGAGAGCCTATTTAATATCAAGAATGAGCTCCAAGATAAGAAATTCAGAGTTCAAAACTCACTGTCTGACTAATAATTTAATCTATATTATGCAAGAAATAGCATTCCTGAGCTGTTGTCAAAGTAATACACACACACACATTTATTCATTTGGTTTTTAATCTTGTCAAAGCAGGTTTCCTCTCTTCTCACAGGTTATATGAATGAACTTTTCTAGCATGTTTAGGATTATCATTAAGTTTAATAGTAAAACTTCCTTATGGGTCTCCTTTCTGTGAGATAAATCAATGTTGTTCCCTTTTGGAGATCAAGGATTGAGATGAAGAGATTACCAACAAGCCCAAGAGAAAGCAAGCAACTGAACTCCAGCACTCAGGTTAAGTTTTGTTGTCTTTATAAAAATATTTTTTCTGCATAAAGAAAAGGTTCTCAGTAAGACCACCAACATGTTAAGTTTTTTTTAATCAGCTGAGGGTTTACTGATTTTAAACACAGATATGATCATTTGAAAATGGCAGAGAATAAATCTGCATTCACATGATTTGCTAATTACTGTATCAGCTGCATGTGTAGCTCAAGATAGTTCAGACTACATTAACAAGCTGAATTGTCTCTCTTTTTTTAAATCTCAAATGCAGACTGAGTAGCAGGGAGAAAAAGAGAACACATGACAGTGATGCAGATGGGAAAAACAACGGGGAGAAAGTTATGGTGATGGAAAAGGCCCGCAGGCCAAACTACTTCCCACAAAGTGGTTTTCTGGCAAAATCTAGTTGTTAATTGGTATCTTATTTACCCTGTTGAACTGAGCCCAGGAGACAGTCATATTGTTATAATCTTCCAGATGATTCATGTTGCTATTGAAGAGCTTTTGGGCAAGAAAGAGGAGGTTCTCTTTGGTGAGTCCACGACTGCTCTGGACTTCAGACTTGAACTTCATGTTGAGAGCCTCACACAACTGGGACCACATCACTTTGTCTGGCACAGCAAAGGGCACACGTCCTGGCTCTGCAAAAGCGTTGTCCCACAGCACTGTGGCAGTGGCATTATTATCCTGGCTGCCATGCACAATTACCACCACTGGCAGAGATAATGTCTTCACCTGGAATACCAGCTCATTGCCACCTACACTGAAATGAGACTCAAAGAGAATGGTGAACTTCTCCTCAGTCACTGACTCAGCACCACGACGATCTGAACGCTTGATCCGCTTCAAGGACTGTGGATGGATGAGATAACAGAGGGAGACACAAGAAATAGGAAATTGTCACAGACAATTGTCATTCTGTAGACAATCACACATTGTCTACAGAACACTCAAGACTAAAAACCTTAAACAGGAACAGGAACTCAACTCTATACTCAGGCAGATCATCCAGGGGAAATTTACTTAGCAACCTTATTTCCCACACCAGTTATTAAAAGCTAAATCTAGAATTAGTCTTTAGGAGATGTGGGACTACAATGGATGATGAGGCTTTCCCCCTTAATTATATTTTCAACAGGAAAAACAACAGTGGGATGTGGAGCTGGAGGTAGATAGTGTGAATCAGTGAAGACATCTCTCACCATGTTGCGGAAATGAGCACTCAGTGTTCCAGTTGCCTGATGATATTCCATGACACAGGAATTGTTCAAGATATCACCACTGGACTCACTGCCAAAAGAAAGAAATGGCAGCTAGTTGAATGCAAGCCAGTACGCCACTGGTGATTTTGTATCACCCCACTGAGAGTGTTAATTTTGCACTATGGGGATGCCAATGATATGGCTTCATCCAGTGGAGATTTTAGATTAGTTCTCATGGCTTAATAAAATCTGCTTTTCAAAATTCTGAGATCTATTACAAGCAAATGAATGTACAATGTACACTGAATTACCTAAAACCAAGCAGTCACATTTTGCTCTGTTGCCCTTGCCTTAATCCTTTAGGTTACCGTAAATGTTTTCTATAACGTTGATCAAATTTCTACCTCAGGAGAAAGTTTTCTCCAACCAAATACTGACAAACTGTAACAAGGATATAGGTAATGAAAGTTGGCTTAGTCACAGATTGTAAGAGCGGCAAAGAAGAAGTCAAATAAAAAGGCTTAAACCTTCCAATCCTGGGGGAGTTGTGTTGAAATTCAGACTAACTTTCTTGCCCCCTAATACTTTAGCATCCCGAATAAACAGTAAAAATATCTAGATACCTTGACAATTTAATTTTCAAAGTTACAATGATTATGTTTTTATTTAAAAATATTAATGGCATGTTTCTATGTATTAATTTCTACTCTTCACATCCTCTGTCAGCTTTTCTTAGTGCAGCATCCTTCAGAAATGTTGGCGCTGGAAACACACACTTATGGAGGATAGTAAGCAGTAAGAAAGCTGGTTCAGGAGAAATGGATTCTTTCCTTCTTTGGCTTCCTTAGCCTGTAAGAAATATACATACTTGCGGGTACTCTCATTCTTCAGCAGGGCTTTGGCTTGCTGCTCACTGATGATGGTGGCCTTTACTTGTGGTGGGTTCATGTGAACATTTAACTTTCCTCCAACCAGCAGCCGTACTGTCGCTGCAAACTTAGTCTGAGTTTTTAGCACCTGTGGAGGCTGCTTTTCTATTATGAATGTGCTATAAGGAGACAAGAGGGAGGAAAGACTAAGTCACTGGTTACAGAAGGTGAAAAATGCAAAAATAAATATGCTAGCTTTTATGACTCAGTATATACATCTCATCAGCAAAGAAAACAATAGCAAACTACAACCCACAATGAATAAAAAAAAACACATCAATAAAGTACAGGTAGACTTTGACTTATGAACACAACAGGGACTGGAATTTTGGCCACTAGGTGATAGTGTCTTTAGCAGGTCACATGACTGGATCCAATTTTGCAACCATTTTTACTGTGGTCATTAAGTGAATGAAGGAAACCCAGTTTTTCCAATTGACTTTGCTCGTTGGAAGCTGGCCGGGCAGATTGGAATTATATGATTGCTAGGCACTGCAACTGCCATGAAACAAGAGCCCAAATTGTGGGATCACATGACTCAGGGGTGGTGCAACAGTTGCAATCTCGAGGATGGGTCATAGATCACTTTTTCTGAGGTCATAATTTGAACTCTCATTAAAGAAATGGTCCTAAATCAAGGCCTAGTTGTACTCAATCCTACCTAGTGACTAGCGCAGAAATTATGTCTGTTACTGTGCCATTAACATCTGAGAGCAACTCTTCAATTGGTCCAGGAATAGGAAGCTGCTGATATAAGTGTTCAGCACGGCGTACTTGTTGGCGGTTCTGGCAAATGAATTCAGCCAGTTTTTCACACCTACGGAAGAATTGTATTCTTGTTTGTCAGAAGCAATGAAGAACCCTGTGGCACCTGAAAGACTAACATATTAATTCTTGAAAGACTGACAACTTTAGAATTAGGAAAAGAAGAGGGGGCATGTATATAAGGATTAGTAAGACCTAGGGAAAGGCATATATGATGGGGAACACAAAAAGTTTTAGGGAAATGATCCCAACACAAGACATATTTCCTAATGATGCCAAGACATGCTATCTTCAACCATTATGTTGAATATTTATGAATATCATTTAAAAAAAACAACAGACAAAGCTCAAACTGCTTAAAACTACACTCTAACAGCTACTTCAGATTACAAATTCAAGAAAAATATTGTATTATACATAGACTATGGGCTACCTTTTGCAATTTTTTTCAGTATCCTTATAGCTTATTATTTGGGTTCAATTAAGTTAGGATATTGGATCAATCCTATAATAATGTTGTTTTGCATTTCAAGAGATAATCATATAAAAACAAATGGCCTTGTCAAATTATGTTTGTAGTAGCCATTTATGGTTGTTAAATATGGTTTTAATTTGATTATTTCATTTTGTTTGTGGGTTTTTAATATTATGGATATGCTGCACAATATAATTGTTGGATCAACCATGAATTTAATTTGAATTAACCATGAATTTAATTTGAGCCTGAAGACATAAAGATGAGGCAGGTATGAGGTTATTTTAAAAAGGGTTCCAAATTCAGATTAATAGTAATCTCCTTTTCTGTTTTTTTTCCAATATATGAGCCAGGATGCAATCTTGAAAATTCTACAGAAAAGATATCAGGAAGTAGGGATTAGTTATAGCAGCCATTATGTTAAGCTGAATGCAAGCACTCTTGTGACATACCACTGGCAATATAACCTTCTCACAGAAAAAGAGTGAAAAATATTCAGTTTATATATAATAGGATTCTTAGAAATCATTTACAGATATAACTTACAAATAGTCCTCACTTGATTATTATTTGTTCAGTGACTGTGGGAAGTTGCAATGGTGCTGAATGAGTTGTACTTACAACTGCAACCCAAAGTTACAGCCATTGAAACACATAATCACACTTGGCAGCCTGCCCACATTTATGACTGCAGAATGTGTTTCAACTCCCGCCCACCTGGCTATCTGCCCCCACTTCTGCCCTTTTGGTTGTCCTGCACTCTGCACTAGGAGGGCCTACAAGGGGACGAAGAAGATGGTGAAGGTGAATTGGGGGTAGCGATGAGGACCAGGAGTAAGCAGTGCAGGGCAGGGCAACCAATAGAGCAGAGCTGGGGAGGAGATAGGTAAGTGGAGGAAGTTAAAGCAGAGCTGAGCACAAGGCAGAAAATCATGAATTCAAGAGGTTTAGACTATGAGTGGTAGCATAATGATTTTAAGCTGATGACATGCTTAACTCCCTCCACCCCAGCTCTGTCTATTCTTCTCCTACATCCTCTTTCCTCTCTAACCCGTTTCCTCTCATGCTCTCTACCATGCTTGCAGGCCATCTAAAGGCCCCTCGGGAGGGCCACCATTTCCTGCCAGTTGCTGCCTCCTCTTCCACTGGATCAACTCATCATCCAAGATTATAGTCTGCTGCTTGCGAAGCAAAGCCAGTGTCTGCTGGTGCTTTTCAGCCAGTTCCTGAGGAGTACAAAAAGCATTTGGAATTTGATGTTAACAACAGCAACAACAAACGCCTAATAGAAAAGAAAGTAGAAAGTCAGAATTAGGACTTGGGAGGATGGGACTTACTACACGATACTGTTGCAGTGTCTGAGCCTCCCGGTGTAGCCAAGCTTCCAGGGATGACTTCTTTTGCTGCAAAGTAGGTTCACGGACCATACGTTCCTGTGGGCTTAGCTGAGAAAGCTGACTAAATTGGGCTAGAAAGGAAGCATAAAGTTAATCCTTGCTTTGAATTACCTCAATCAGATCTCAACTCCCATGTACCCAAAGAGAGTTCCTTTGTTCAAGTTTATCTGTTTGGTAGTTTTATAGGTAGTCCTCAACATATTGCCCATTATGATTATATGTCATAATGGTTGTTAAACCAATTGATCATATAACTAACCCGCTCTTACAACGTATTTTGTGGCAACCATTAAATGAATACCACAGTTGTAAAGTGAACATTGTGATTGTTAGGTGAATTCCACGTTCATTAGGCAAACCAGTGGTTCACTATGGATTCAGTTTTGCTAAAAAACAGAAGTGCCAGTTTTCAACAAAACCATTGAAAAACATGGTTATATGATGCTGCCTACAGTGAGTACCTAAGTTCAGTCACATGACCATGGAGCGGGACTTGATTGTCAGAATCCAAGTTGTAAGTTCCATTTTTTTAAGTCAATCATAATTCTGAACAAACACTAAGTGACTGGCTATATGTCAAGGGCTACATGTATTACTTTCTTTTAAAATCCAGTTAAAGATCATTGAAAGGAATACTATCCATCCAGCTCACTTCACTTTGAATTGGTTCTGCAGAATTTTCAACTAGGCCTACCAGGAGATGCCAGAGTTGACATATCCAAATGTATGTTCTATTACTCCATCATGATATGTTAGTATTCGTATTATGAAGACTTGGTATTAGTATTAGAACTACAATCTTGGAAATGACACAGATATACCTTGTAGATGAAGGCTCTCTTGGTACTGGATGATGAAATATTCCTGATGCTGTTGAAGCTTTTTCAGTTGGTTCTCAGTGTCCTGAGTGAACAGCCGTAATTCATCAAAAGTTTGGTTGATCTGAAGATGTTTCTGAGTCACGGCATCAGCCATGCTGCTGGCCAGTAAAGGGCTCTGTAAATATGGGAATTTAACAATAGAAAAGGTATGGATATTACCACCAAATATATATATATATATATATATCCATATTAAATATATAGGAAGGAAAAACATTTATGCAAAAGTAAATCATACTCACATTCCTAGCTTCTCGTACTAGACGTTGCTCGTGGTATAGGATGTGTCGAATACAGCGTACCAACTCCAGAGGGCAGTGTTTATATGTATTCTGTAAAGAAAGATTGAACCACCTAAGAATGGGAAACTAGCCTTTCACTTACTACAAGGTTTGAAAACACCATCTTTTACCTTCCAAACTCCCAGCATCTGTAACTCACCTGTAGCTGAGTGGCGTAATGACCAAGTTTGATCTTTAGAAGGAAGCCGTCCTCACCCACTTGGTGGTCTGCCTTTTTTTGAAGTTCCTGGATCAGTCCGTCCAACAATTGTGCAGCTCTGACACCTTCCTGAGGATTGTCAAGATCTATAGAATCCCTGAAAATTGGGTCACAAAGCAGAGGGGTATGTGCAGAAAAGTAAGCACTCTATTGATAGTGCAACAAAGAAACCTTTCTTATAATCTGGATCAAAATGAGAAGGCAAAGGCAGCATATGTTGCCATTTCTGGACATTCATACAATGGGCAAAAACTCTAGGTAGTGTTTGAATTACAGCCACAAGCTGGAACCGTAATTTTGATCAATATGTGATATAAAATGCAATGTCATATGATTGTATTGCTTAATGATGGAGAAAACCTTATTCAAGACCAGAACAATACAGCTATATAATATGCTTCCTGTGTAATGCAAGATAAAGGTTTGTTTCAACCATAAAAGATAAATATCCCATTCCATATCATCCCTCTGCAAGGCTGAAAATGCTGCTGGACAACCAGGTTTTCACTTTCACTTACCATGGCTGTGCCTCAATCCACTGGGAGAGGTAATGGCGAACCTCAATGGGGAAATGTTGTCCGTATAAGGCCTGCATTTGTCTTAGAGCGTCTCCTTGAAGTTGTTGAGCTTGGATCCACACGGCCATAACTTAGCACCTCCTAATGAAAACAAGGGAAAGCATAAAAACATTGCTTTTGGAATTCTTTCCAATCCCTTAATAATAATGCTACTCCAGGTCTGGTGGCTAAGAGTGAGGAAGAAACATTGCTTAGAAAGGAAAAGTCAATAGCATTCTTAGCTGTTGCCCAAAATTAAAAGATGGTTATTTCTCCACAGTTTCTGGCTTGGCCCTGCCCATTTTCAAGCTCTATCTTTATTTTGTTGCCTTCTCCCCAGATCAAATATGTGGTCCAGTTCTGTTCTGGTTTTGGAAAACTAATAATAACCTATAATAATAATAACAATAACAACAACAACCTGTTGATAAACATTTTTACATAATGTATTTCAAGTATTCTATTGTACTGCAAAATTTGATTTAGGCTAGGCATAAACTGTTATATGTGCATTTGAACATATATCAATAATAGGGCTGTGTAACCATTCAGATTCAAACAATAAAAGCCATTTTGGAATACACATTGGTGTGTGTACATAGCACCTGCCTACAATTATTTTAAGCTTTTTCCTAGGGTTGTAACATGCACCCTCTGAATCATTCTTTCCCCTTTAAATTTGAACAGCTGCCCAATCCCTCATCAATTTTTAAAAAGTAATCACCCATCCCTCCTCCCCTCTTAATCTAACATTTTAACATTGGTGAGGTAGGTTTCTAGGAAGCAAGGGTTAAACTAGACATACAGTTTAGGAAAAGTAGAGGAAGTAAGATGTAGAAGAAGCAGGGAAAAAACAGCATCCTTTTCAGTTACATATTGATATTCTCTGTGAACATTAACTCAAATTTCCCTTTTATAACTGATAAAGTGCATTAAGTTATCTCTTACTCTTAGAGACTGCATAGATAGAAACAATGTTCTCTATGATGATTTGCTCCTAATCTGGTCTTTCATGTCTTCTAGTAATGCACCCATTGCCCGGGTAACTGAGTCCCCTCACCCTGCTACTCATCATTCTCTTCCCTTTCCTCTTCCCTTCCCAGCATTAGAACCTTTGTCTTCTTCATAAGTTCCAATTAGTCATAGCAAATTGGAAACTAGGATTTAAAAAATTCCAGCATGAATAGGCGATCTGGTATCTTTTATATATCATTCATCTATGATGTTGTTATATAGATTTGGATCTGGTACCTGTCTGACAAAAGTTGCATTAAACATCAGACACACGGCTGTGTTTCATTAGTGAATCACAAGGCCTAACGCAAGCCATTGCCCACAAGTAGTTACACTTCTACAATAGCAACTTGTGCCTAAAGCTTTTGTGGCTGTTTCCCAGCTGCCCTGACAGGAAGGAACAGTTTCCTTCCAGAACATCAGCTGTCCCCAGCAGCCTGCTTTCTCCCCCAATCATTCAACAGCAACACCCACCCATACGCTTTTAGGCGTCTAGCAAGAGTGCCAGAAACTACTGTTACTGAAAGAATGAGTTGAAAACACCAACACATCACTTGATGTTTATTGTAAAGGCAAGAAAAAACTAGGAATAAATAAAATAACAACTGATGGAAAAAGACAAAATCTCCTGAAATAGTCCCAAGTTTTGAAAATATTTGTTTTTAATATTCTGATTCATTTTAAGTCCAGTCTACTTGCTAAATTTCTTGCAAATTTATAATATATAAGTATTTCTTAGGTATTTCTTAAAAAGCAAGTATTTCTTGCTTGTTAAAATATCCAATTAACATGTTATTATTTTCACTGTTGGTTTACTATGTTCTTTACATTGAAAAATAACATAAAAAACCCTTGATCCAACAAAATCAAATCATTTATATCACAGAGTTATCCCAATAAGCAGGTATTCTAGTTTAATCAAGAGAGTTTCCATTGTCCCTTGATTTCAGAAAATAGCTTGAATTTCATTAAATAGTGCTAAAGAAGGGATGTCACACTCATGTCATCACAGCTACATCATGTGACGTATTGGGACTCCTCCCCCCTTCACTAAAATCGGCATAGGCGTGGCCAGCACGTGATGCATCCAGCCTGGGGCTGGGAATTTGACAGCCCTAGGTTAATAATTCTGAAGAAAGTGAGTTTCTCAACTTTATACCCCCTTCCCAAGATAGCTCTTAAGTAGGAAGAAATTTGAATAGATCTCTAAAACTTAGGAGGAAGAAAGTGCTTCTACCTAACGTTTATTATCTCCATTACCTTGGTCACCTGAAACAAAGTTAAACCTATTAATGAGAGAACAGAAATTAACAGAGATGTTTTCAATGGTCTCAGAAGATTAATGCCAGAGTAGAGTTGGAAAAATCAGCTCCTGCTGACTTCCTTCTATTGCTGCTTCTCTATTTCAAAGTCAGTGATTGTATTCCTGAAACTAAAAATTGAAGTTAACTTATTAAAAAATAAACAAATAACTGATTTGACAGAGGCAACAATTATTTGCTGTGCTCAAAAAATCAAATATGCACAAATAAACTACCTACCAATCTCCATAATATTAAGCTTTTTTGGGGGAAAGAGGACATAAGAAAAAGAATAGCATATCTTACAAGATATTTTCCCAAAGAATGTCATCAGATACCTGGATCATATTACCATATGTGGTGGACATGCACAGAAACTAAAAGATATTGGACAAAAATACATACATGGTTGGAAAAGATGATAAAACAACATATATACTTAAAGCCTGAGATATTTTTATTGGGGATTCTACCTGACAATTATAGTAAAGAAAAATATATTTAATTATGCATATATTAACTGCAGAATTGTATTTGCTCAAAATTGGAAAAGTGAAAAGATTCTGATGAAGGAGGAGGTGATTAAGAAAATATTGGAATGTGCAGAAATAAGTAGGTTAATATTGGCAATTAGAGAACAAGAAGAAATGGAGTATTATATGATTTGGGATCTATTTTATAAATGGTTGGAAAATAAAGTAAAGAGATATAATGTTGAATAGGTTGAAATATGAATGTAAATAAGAAATGTATACAAATATTAATATGAGCACAAGATACACTGTATAACTAAAAGATGTTTTTTTTTAAATAAAAATAAAAAACTTTTTGGAAAAAAGACAGCCAAGCAAAGCCAAGAAAAAGTTTTTCAAAATTCCAGTTCCTAAACATTAGACCCAATTCTAACAAAGTTGGAGGAAACTTTCTTGCATATCAGAGTGAATGTTCATTTTTCTTATTAGCAAATTCACCTGAAAAACAAACACTGGGATTGTAAAGACATTTGTTTAGTAAGAATACAATGCCATTCAAAGTTGAATCTGAAGTTGTATCCACCTATAAATGAAAAGCAAGAAATCAAATTTTACTTACATATTGGTGATATTTCCTCCCCTTGGAGGCACCTGAATGAATTGAAGTTGACCAACTATGATTCACTCTGCAGCGGCTATTGCAGTGAGATCTTTCCTCTTTGCTTCTTGTCAGCCAATATTTGGCCAAAGATTGAGTACCTTGACAGTAGAAGACTGCTGCACTTAAGCAAGTCCCAGCACTCATCTAAGTCCATAACTCTCGTCCTCCACTTTATAAGCTGAAATTTGTCCTTCAGAAGAAAGTACTTGCAAATATCTACATTCAAAGATTCTTAACGAGCTAAAACAGATTAGATGCGGAATTACAGTACTAGGAAAAGCTTGTCTGGGCAATATTCCAAGGCTACAATGGTGACAAAACAATATTTCCTTACTGTCACAATGCAGAATCAACATGATAGTGTATTTCATTTTGGTTTAGAGATACGATTGTTAACTTTTTTTGCCAATGTTTCCTAAAATGTGGGCCATAAGCCACAGGAGCTTCAGTTACTGTAGAAGGTCCATGGACCTTTTGCCTGCAATGAGATGGAAAGGAGAAAAATACTGTCTAAGTCTAGGAGAATACTAGAGAGAAATGGGAAGCAACAGTATCAGACCATATTCTCTTTAGGTTGCACATATGTGCTACTGTATACATTATTTACTGGCATAAGGTTTGCCACGAAGACCATATAGAGTTACATATATTAGTTAATAATTATTATATTACTAACTATTCCTTCCTTTGGCTTACTCTATAAATCCCTTTCTCACTCCACTCAGCAGGGTCCCATTTTTTGAGGTCTGGTTTGTTGGCTCACAGGCCTAGCTCTTAGATCCATGCAGAGAAGAAGGGAAAGGTGCCCATTCTACAGAGGCAAGCAAGAATTTACAAGTAGTTCCAGTTTAGCAACCAGAATTAGAACCAACAACTTGGTTGTTAAACAAAGCAGTCATTAAGTGAAACAGCAACTATGTTCATGATCTTTCTTCAGTTGTCTTTGGCTTTGCAGTCCTATAAAGGTTATAAATGTGATGGTTGTTTTAAAGTTACTTTTTCATCACTATCATAACTATGAACAGTTGCTGGATAAGGTGGTTGCTAAACAAGGACCATCTGTAATTAGTTCTACTATTGCTGCGATCCTGATACAAATATGTAGATCAGACTCAGCAGTTATTATTTTTCAGAGCAAACATCACCATCAGAGGAGAGATTTTTTTTAATGAAGGAAAAACTGGCTGATTTGAGGTTTTAATGACAAATTTGTGTATGCAAATTCTAGTTTTTTATTTTTATTCAACAAGAAATATAAATAAAAACTTTAGATCTGCTGAATAGCCAATTACAGCACAATAGAAAGACCAGCATTAACAAGATGTTCTAATTAAATATTTGGTATAATAAATAAGAAAATATATTCCCTAGACTGAAAAATATCCCCATAATTCAATTAGTATTGTGATTAGTAAAATACAAATTAAAGTGTTACTGAATTTATAATACCTTTGGTCATTGTGTTTTATTTCAATCACCAGATACTAAAATTACAAGGAAGAATTAGTAGGTATACTTGGAAGCCTAATTATATGTTACTATAGCTGCCTTCTTTCTTGCTTCCTCACTCCATCATTCTGGTAAATGAGATACATACATGCAGCCCTTCAAAATAATACATCAAAAAATACCAATCATGAATTAAGATTGGCT